AAATATTTTTTTATTTCACTAACAAAAAGAAAAAAATGAAAGTAGGATGATAAGTGTATTTTCTTTTATTATGTAAAAGCCCATAATGTTTTTCCATATTTCATGTTTATTTAGTTAAATTTAATCATTTACCAATTTAAGATATTAACAAGTTTAATTAATGATAATGTGATATTCGTCTTGACATACATAGTGAAAGTGTGTTAAAGCATGTATCATTTAGTCCACATTGATTTTGAAAGCAAAAAAGAATGCAAAAAGTAGCTACAAAAGGCTAGAGGTTTGAGACAATCTCACATCGATTACAAACACAATAATAAAGGCCAAAAGTGGCTATAAAAGGTTGGGAGAGTGAAAACTTTGATTTGCAATTATTCCAAATGAGAAAGTTCAATGAAAGACAAAGAATGGCTATATATGTTGTAGCAACTTGCCTTAATAACTATTAATCGGTTTCTCTTATATTTAATAGTAATAAAAAAATTATATATTTTAACGTATTTAATTTTTTATATAAGAAAAAAAATATTGGGCCGGCCGCGCACGGCCGAGCGAGTTGTGGCTGCAATTAGCGGCCGGCCGGCTCCAAAAAAATATTTTAAAATTAAAAAAGGCAAATTTGTCTTTTAAGGTGGCGGTATTTAGTAAAAAGGGAGGCGGAGAATAGTAACACTTTTTTTTTTTCCAACGATAAACATTATTATTACAAAGAGACGTGGTGGGCTTATTATTATTAATAACCTCAAAAGAGCAAAATATCCGAACTACCAATTGGCTGTATACAACACATGGGATCACAACACAGAATACCCCTTCATCAAACATCCAAACTTCACATATTACACAACACTACATTAATCAATAGCCAAAAAAAANAAAAAAAAAAAAAAAAAAAACAAAACAAAACAAATGAAGAGAAATCATCACAGAGAGAAGCTACATATGAGGCCAAAGTGCTGCAGCAAATATCAAATGGAACATGCTTATTCTGAAGTTTCAGCATCAGACTTTTCATCTTCATCTTACTGTAGCAATTCTCCCAACCTGCTTTCAAAGCTTTCAACATGGTCCATCTCACAGTTTCTAGCCAGATTACTTCTTTGCAACCATTAAACCTTATGATACAAGAATTACCTGACGTTAGTCCGAGGATACGTGGCGGTGATGTATGCTCCGACGTCCACCTTAGTGCCTCCTTTGCTCCGATGCCTGCAAACAGAACCTTGTGTTTGTCCTTAGGGGTAGACCCTCCGATGCCTAAGTTAGAATCAATTTTAGGGTGATGGCTGTAGAATGAGTAGAAGGGAGAGTATTGAGTCGTAGAGAATGAATCTTATCTTGACCTAGGTCGTCCTTTTATAGGAGTCGGACGACCTAGGTCTCCCTTCTGCAGACGAAGGACTTTCTAGCCCATAAGCTTGGTGGGCTGGCCCCAGACTTTGGGCCTACAGTCAGGGGCAGAGCCACCCTAAAGCTAGGGTGGGCTACAACCCTATGTAATTTTTCGCTAACCTTATTTTTGCTAACCTTATTTTTTAATAAATGTTATAGATATCCCCATTAGCCCCATATAATTTTTTTATGTAGCCCCAATTGATTTTAGGCTAAATGCCTCAAGAATATCTTCAGGTTAAATTTTTTTATCTAACAACAATGGTGGAAAAATGATGATTGTAGTGAGGAAAAAAGGTAATTCTTTATTGTCAAAAGACAATTGTGACCTTATTACATTTTATCAGTTGAGCTTATAATGTGGCCCAACACACTCTTGCCTTTTAAATTTTTAATTCGTTGACTTGATAAATATCAAATGAGCTGCATAATTAAGTTTGACACAAACTTCTCCAACGGGCTATTTAATTGGGTTCTCATTCCACAGTCTGTTTTCTCATTTTATTTACTTATTTATTTATTTATGTGTTGATTTCGCCTCCAATAATTAATTCGACATCATTTTCTAGACAAAGAGAAAACTCGTACAGAATTGATTGCAAATATGTTCGACTCTGTTTGTTTGATCGACAAGTTCGATTAGTTATATGAGTTTAGCTTGTTTAAATATATAAGAGATTCAAGATTGAATTTCTCAATTCAAACCAACATATGTTAACAGATAATTTGTTTCTAATCATATCCAAAACCT